ATCGCTTTCTCAAAATCACATAAAACCATATTATAACATCGACTGAGATAAAGAATAAAATAAAATATTAAAATAACGATGTATCTCGCTGCATTGTACAAATACCCTTCTAATAATACGTATTTTAATAAGTATTGTGTTTTTAATCATCACTCTTATATTTAATTTAATTTCTTATAGTTATTTCCTTAAAAACTAGCCATTTAGCGACTTTTGATACTATTTTTTTTTAATTAACTTGGATATCCATAAATCTATTAATTTCACGACAATCTTCTGTTTTATAATAGTTCAAAATCACTGTATTTAAATCATAATTTTTTTAATTCTTTCTTATATTCGAATTTGAATGCTTTAAATCATAATAGTCCAAACTCAAAACCAATGGAGAAACGTGGTTGACTTTGATGCTACTTTTTCTTAGAAGGATATCATTGTTTAATTGTGCATGACCATGAGGCATAGTGTGTGTGTATATATATATATATATATATATATTATGAAAAAGAAAGGGTTTATTTATTGGATCAAAAAGCAAACGTTGCCGACTCAAAACACACATGCAAGCACTCTTTTGAAAACAAAAACACATCCTCGTCAATCAAACAAGTACCAAAAAAATTGCAGAAATTAATCAAGAAGAACCATGCATCCATCGCTCGATCTCTTACAAGTGATGGTTCATCTTCAAGAACATGCAAAGATCATCACACTGGCTTTTGGGAGTCCAGGCAGTGAAGTAAGTTTGAACGCCACTAAGAACAAGAGCCATCACAGCTCCCACAAGTGCTAAAAACGCCCATGGGCTCTTTATATACTCATGCTTCAGTTCTGAAAGACGAGTGTTTCTCAAACTGCCATAATGTTTCTGTATCTTGTTTTTGGCTTCTGCGTAAGCTGCAATGTTTGGCACCAAATCGGTCCCTATCTCATTGAACAGTTTCGCAACTTCCTTGTCACTCCCCAGAGAGTTATCAAGAACCCCAGCTTTGCGAAGAGCCTTAACGTCCTCAGGGTGATCAATCAGAGAATCGAGCAGGCAAATGTAGGAGGTAACCCAAGCTTCATGGCCGTCAGCTGAGCACATTTCATGGGTGATCAAGTTTAACACCATGGACTTGGTGGAATCATCGACGGTGATCGGAGGGAGTTCTACGTCGGCTGAAAACAACCACCACCGTTTAGAGAACCCGATCTGAGTCAATCCCATGATGCTACTTGGCTTGAAATTGATCCCTACGTCTATAAGCTCGTTGACATTGCGAAAAGTGCATCTGTGTAAGTCCTTTTTGTTTATAGTATTGGAGTTGGTTGTTTGAACCAAATGTGGCTTTTTTGAAACGTTCGAATATAAGTCTTCTCCAGTAAGGGTATGATGCAGAAATTGGAGAAGATGATCAACTGTGAAGTTGAAGTCTCCTTGGTTATGACCGGCGCCAGAAGTTTGAGCTTCTTGGATATGACCGGTGCCAGCACAGAACCACCCGCGTTTCGGCCTCACCGATGCCAAAAAGTTGTCATAGATGAAGTCCTTAATCTTCTTACGCCTGTTAATCTTTACCAAATTCATCACCTCGGTTAGAACTTGGAATGGAATCTGGTTTTCGAGCAAGAACAGGTCTTGATGGACGAATACAATCTGGTGGCTGTTCAACTCACAAGTTTCGACTTCCCCACCATAGATGGATTGAATATAATACAAAATAAAGCATCCGTCGAGTATCATCATCTTCGTGAAAACCTTATCAGATAAACCATCTGTTGATTTCTCTTCATAGAAGTTTCTAAATCTTTTCACCATGGTTGGTTCACCAAGCTTTTTGTACAAACTGCTGACCTGGGTCTCCCAGTTGGGTGATAGGAGCTTCTTCGTGAAACCTGGCTTGAGATTCTCGATGAACTTGAGCTTGGGGATATCAGCAGCATGGTATGGACCGATGGAAACGACCTCTGGAGCATAGTAGTCTCTTGTCTCTCTGACCATGGTTGGAAGTCTAGGTATTCGTCGGGTTGACGACGGCGGGGGGTCGGCATTACTCGTAATCCACTTGATAAGCCATGCTTCATCTGACTCTTGATCTTCATTGGAGATCTGGATGCCACTGGCAATGTTGCCGTCTTGCAGCGCCATTTTTTTGATATGGTGGTCTAGTGTTTGTGGTTATTGAATCATGCATACGATGGAGATAGTGTCGATGTGTTCATGCATCATGCATATAAATATTTGTGCTCATGTGTGTGCTTGCTACTTACGTTTGTGACAGAATCTTGAAGACAGTAACTTTGTTCACAAATGAAGTTAGGAATCATAGGACCACACGAAACATTGGTTTTATATATGTACAAGGTTTTGTTTGCGAGATATATATATATATATATATATATATATATATATATATATAATATGTATTTTTCATCCATATCCTAATTAATTAAATTGCTAAACTAACGTTTTAATTTTTTTTTAATTGTTATTTTGGTTTCTTAATCGATTTGTGGTTATTTAATGGATTAATTTGTGGTATTAATGTATGAGTTATTAATTTTGACATAATTTGTTTTTAAATAAAATTGAAATGTTAATAGTGGGAATTCCTAACTTAATGTATGAATGAAGCTCTCATTTTGTGTTTCACATGACCAGCAAAGCTGCTTAGGAACAGTTTTTATGATTCATTTAAGTAAAATCAACTTTCCTTATTATTTTATATTTAAAATAATAACATATAGATTATATATATATATATATATATATATATATATAGAAACTTGATTTCAAATACAATACAACCTAATAAATTGAGATATTTATGGAAATAATAAAAATTTATTTATTATGATTTGAATATTTATGGAAAATAAATATGGTTCATTAACTATAAACAATACTTTATATTAGAAAACAATCGAAATTTCTATGAAATCACATATTCATCTATATTATCTTATAAAGCAAATTTAGCAAAAGTCTTAAAATAATAAATGACCAAGATACCCTTTATACATTTTTTCACCCCCTCCTCTTCTCACATGCACTCACCCCCTCACATACACTCACCCTCTCACAACCAATTTTTTTTAAATTATAATTTTAAATTTACACTTTATACCCCTATAATTAGTTAATTAATTTATTTTACGTTCTTTACTTTTAAATGTTTCATTTTAAATCTTTATCGAATTAATATACATAATCGTATATCAATTAAAACATGTTTAAAAAATATATTTTTATTTTAACAAGTTACACCATTATAATCGTTTCTTTAATACTTTCGAAATGAGTCCAATATTGAATAATTTTTTACTTAATTATATTATTATATATTATATATACTGTGAAAAAATATTTTTAATATTTACGATTTATATTTT